GTGCTCAGAGGTTATAATTACAATGTAAAAATAAAACATTTTGCACATTCTTTTCCAGCAGACGACTTCTTCGCTCTGAAATTAATTGTCCAGATTTTGAGAATAGCTGCCCTCTAAACATAAAATAATCTTCTTGCATTTCTACGCCCACAGTAATATTGTATCGATTTTTTTTTAAATATGTCACCTTAGCTAATAAAAAATATAACACTTATTGTTACGGACACCCACTTAATGATTTAATTTTTTTCTCATTATAATTTAGTTAGGAGGAATCTAAATAAACAAATCTTATCGGCCAAACACTAACGGACGGTGTTTTGCAACAACCGTCTAACCCACATTTGTTAACAAATGAGGTTAGACGTATCAAATTGTCCATCATAATGCATACTAAATCAAGCAAAAATGATGTAAGCCATATCCATACTCATGGAGGCGTTTGTGAACTAAGTTCTAAACCACATTCGTCAAATAATATGAAAACAGAAATTTGGAAAAATAGTCTAATCCATGTTTTCATTATAAATATGTGGGTTAGACGATTGTTGCAAATATTTATAAGGGTATTTTCATTGTGTGCACCGGATGCAAAATATTAAATTGAACAAATCTTTATTTTGACTTATTAAAAGACGAGAAATTTATTATTATAGTAATATTAGAATTTTGTTTAAATAAATAAAATGACACCAAACTAGAGGCATTATCTTTAATGGTAAAATACGAAAGTATATTATGTAAAACTGTGAGTTTTCTGTGTTCTGAGTCAGCTCGGCAATTCATTAAAGAAATTTTTAAATTCCTTGTACCGAAGAGATAACCTAATATGTTTTGCGATTACTCGAATGTTGGTACCATAAATGCCGACAAAAAATTGCAATATTAAATAACGAAACCAGTAGTTTCTTATAGAAAATATTGGAACTGTTGCTTGATAGTCAAAAGTCTGCGGAGTGTGCGATGAGATCATTCTGTAAAACACAATTTACTAAAAGTGCACGGCTAATATGTATTCAAAAGTAACGAGACAAATTAATAACAGATAATGTCGCCTACCGTGTAAACAAAATACCGAAATATTTAGAATACCTAAGTAACGATATATAATTCTTGGTTTGTTATTAGATACTTAGGGTATTGGATAGTAACGGACATAAAGTAACTATTATAGTAGTAGTTATTTTTTCGACATCACTAAACTTCATTCTCAATTGAGCTTTCCTTTGATTCTAATGTAATAATAAATATTTTTCATCTAATCCATGTTGTTCCCGGAGTGACAAGTTTACAATTTGACATGAGAGACAAAGATTCAAATAGTTCTAGTAGGAGTAGTGAGCGTTGGAATTATAGATCTGAACCTAAAAAAGCAAACTTGATGAGTTATTCGAAAGAATTCATGCATCCCAAATTGTTTCGTGTAAATTATGCCTACATAGAAAAGTTGAAATGAAAATGAAAAGCAGAAACACGTCAGATTTACGGAAGCATCTTATATCTTTTCACAAAAAGGAATTGCAAATATTTCCTTCATGAAAAACCAAAATTCGGTGGAGATACCACAAGCTTTTTAATAACCGCTGGAAAAGTGTACATGTAAAATATATACTTATTCGCTTATTACCAATTTCATATATTATATTATGTACCTACTACTTTATTTTGGAAAATTGATGTATTTATTAAGTAGATATCTCCTTAATTTAAAATAATTTTTTACCTATTCTTTATTTTTCCAAGTTAGTTTTTTATATAAAAGTTGAGCAAAGATTGTTAACATTTATGTTGCTTTAATAAGTGGATTGTAGTTTGTTATCTTATTACCTAAAGAATCTGTTACCTTGATACATGTATGTGGATGTTTTGCCGCTTACCAATGTTTTTTAAGATTTCCATTTCATATATGGGGGGGGGGGTCCATCAATCCCTTTATAGGCAGATAATGTTCTTTAAGATATAGTCAAGTTTATGTCATTGATTTGTTTTTTTAGCACATGTAAGTTTATTAAATGCAAACAATTATTAAGAAACAGATTAACTTCCGTGGGGCATGGTAGATAGCTGAGTTAGTTAGAGCATAGGTACGAATGACTTAGATCGTAGCTTCAAACCCTACCCGGTGCCATTTGTTTAGACATTTACTAATTTTGTTGGTCTTTATTATGGCTATGCTAATTCCAGCTTAAAATGTATTTGATCTAATACGTTCTTCTAAGATTTACAATAACGTTTAATAAATAGCAATAGGCTAATGGGTAACTGCAAGACTTGCAAGACTCTTAGTGCAAGACCAAGACCAAGACCAAAACCAGGTGTATTGGTGCAAGACCAAGACCAAGACTGTTTAAGTCTCGTCTTGTTCTTGCATTTGGGCAACACTAATATTGTCCAATAATTGGTTTCCAATTATTCTATTGTGTCCTTTAAGTAGATCTTTTTAGAACAGTAACGGATAGCTGTGTTGATAGCCAACCTCCGAAAGGAAAAGGAACTACAAGAAGAGGTCCTTTAACCCAGAGTAAAGTAACTGTTTTTTTTTTTGTAAATTTTAGATAATAAATTTTGTGATATTCAGTATAATGTAGTTTTGAAAACTATCTAATGGATGTTTACGAATAGCTTGTAATACTTTCTAAAAATCTGATACTACTACGATGTTCTCACAATAATTAGTGAGACACTATGTTAGTGCTTTCTTCATAGCCAGCAGTAAAAATAGAACAACATTTAGGAAATCGATACTTTACAACATAATTGTTTTTCAAACAAAAAAAGAGAAACCGGTAATTTCAACAGTTTTTGACCCATCTGTGTAAATTACTGTTAAATCTTCCTCTAATTTGCTTAGTATGGATTTAAATATCAGATTAGTTAAAATTGTCAAGTCTGAATAAGCATTCCAGCAAGTTTAGGAAAAACTTTTCAAGCATGTTTGATTCAGTATTATTTTTAAATCTACTTGTTTTTAAAAATGTCGGACAGTAGCTATATCTGATTGGTTGGGATGCCATCCACTATACGTTTTTATGTAAAAATAGCTCATAATGGTGTGGTGTGTAAATCACAAATTGGCCCACTTTTAAAAATAGTTGGATTTACAAAATAAAAATGCACACTTTGCCATTTTTTACTAAAAGTAATTACGAATTGTCAATATTCTAAACGTATAGAACAGGCATAGTTATCAAATACATTTTTCTAAAATCTTCTAAAGCTTTACTTTACACTTAATATATTTTTATTACAAAGTACAGGAAAACTTAAAATTCCAAGTAATATTGCAGCAACTGCGACTTCTGCAGGTAAGTATTAGAACGTATTTAATAAAGTTTCATAAATTTAATAAAAATGGCAAGAATTTCATTAAAAAGATAAAAGAACTTTTCTTACTTTAGATTTGTTGTATAAAATGGGAAATAGGTTTCAAATTATTGATTATAAAATTTAATATTTGAAGCATTTAGTCCAGAAATATTCTAAATATTTCTGTTTTTGCCCCTTATATTATGTTTGTTTACGCTGTTACATAAAGTGGTGCAAGAGTATCATGTCGATGTTACTTTTTTACAGCGATAATTTTATACAGAGTCGATCTCTCAGATGTAGTGGCTGTAATAGCCAACTTCCGACACGTGTATAGATTTTTCTGGTTTTAACGGCTCCTAGAAGGTACTAAGTTAAAATTGCTTCCAAATCTATTCTGAATTTTTTATTTGTATATTCATTTATAAAAACGACGAGCAGTGTAACTTAAATTTAGAGAGAGACTCTCAATAAAATCAATTATACAGCTCAAAAGAGACCAGAATATTTCAGTATAATCTACTTTTTCTTCGTGCACCAGTTCCTCTTCGTTGTGCATTTCTTCTCCTCTTGTTTCCTTCGTCAAGAGCTCTCTATAGTAATTTCTCCATACTTGATTGTATTTTGCTTTATCACTTTCTTAGCATTCCTTCTTAATTTTTCATATTCTTCTCTATCTTCCTCTTTATCTGTTCTTGGCCATTTATGTCTGGCTTGCACTTTTTTCTGTTATTTCTTTACATAGGTACTAGGGAGTTGTAAACCTCCGCTGTAGATGGTCAGTGGATGGATCTTGGTGGCAGTAGCTAGCCAAGTGGCTTCTATCAATAAATACTAAGCAACGCCCCGTTGACAAAGGTCAATAATACTAACAACTCCTAATAACAATGGGATGGATCAACGCCCCGTTGACAAAGGTCAATAATACTAACAACTCCTAATAACAATGGGATGGATAAAGGCAAGTCTCCAGCGCCTAAATATGGAACCCTTTGGTTATTGTTTAGTTATCCCAACAAAATAGTCACTGTTTCTCCATGTTAAAGGTTGGCCATAAGGCTAACACCTTTGTCCTGCAATAAATGCTTGTTATGGAATCCAAAACGAGACAAACCGGGCGGAACTTACGGAAACGATAAAACCTACCAACTCAGCATAATGATGGAGAAACGGTGTTGACGAGGATGCCAGAAAGATAATTATTGTCTACTGGCATCATGCTGCAAAGAAAAGGAACAAATGGAGAAATAAATATTCTAATAACCAATAACATTGGTTATACTTACTATCAAAATTTTTTAAAATATTCTTTTTTGATAACTATTGCTGAGTGGAAGTAGAAACATAAAACACTAGTTAGTTACAAACATGATTTTGTTACAACTAATAATTGTAGCTTAATCTTATATAAATATAATATTTATACTTATTTCATCGTTCGAAGATTTTTGTTTACATCATTATTAGTTCTCGCGTTTCATTTCTCCTAGCTTTTCCCCAACACTTCCATCTTGTTTTATATTTGTATTATTTTAATATTCCTAATTTTTAACTTTGGACATCGCTTACAAAAATATTTCACATACTGTGGAAACACCCTGTTGCTATTATAGTAGTAGTATTCAATAGTAGCAAATTTTTTACCCTTATTGTGTAAAATATGCAAAAGTACAGAAAACTCGAAAAATACTTACATATGCTATTCTTCTGAAACAGCCTTTGGCGCTTCATAAGGAGGGGGTTCTTCTTCGGTAATTAGCTTAAGCCTAACAATATCTGAAGCTGAGTCATACACTGCTGCATTAACTGATGGCACCATAATATTTTCCATCTCTACACTATCTGTTTTCAAGGGTGGAGGCGTTGGTTTTCTTTCTCTAAATGAAAGAGCTCGATGTATTCCAGAGGAAGGTAATAGTGATTCCTAAAAAGGAGAGATCTGTTTTCAATATATTTTTTTATCATAAACCAGGTAATTTTTCTATTATACATTGTGTATGTTGTAAGTATATGGTAAATAATTGCCTTGTAACTAAATAAAGCCAAATAGGTAAAGAAATAATAAATAAGACTTACTCACAATCAATTTAATTTAACTATCAGACGACCGGTTTCGCTTTCTACAATATGCAAAGCATCCTCAGGTCTCGATACGAAGTTAAACAAATGCTGAAATAATAAAAACCCATATTAGGGTGTTGTCTAATAACGATAAAAAAAGTAGATGTTGTAAATTACAATAATTATGCCAATATTACATGTCTGTGGTTTTATTTAAAAGAGTAAGTTGAATAAAAAGTATAAAATTTTTAACAGTTTAAACAGACAAGGTAAGGCCCACAAATTGTTATAACATAGTCTCTTCGATTGTAATAAATTAATAAATGCTACATCCACAGTAGTTTCAACCATGTTCTACCATCCATCAATTAATAGAGTACCGGCATGTAAGTAATTTTTATTTTATTTATTTGCTCATTTATTAATTTATTACAATTGAAGAGACTATTTTATAACAATTTGTGGGCCTTACCTTGTCTATTTAAACTGTTAAAACTTTTACACTTTTTATTAAAGTTACTCTTTTAAATAAAACCACAGACATGTAATATTGGCATAATTATTGTAATTTACAACATCTACTGTGTTTATAGTTATTAGACAACACCCTAATATGGGTTTTTATTATTTCAGCATTTGTTTAACTTTGTGTCGAGACCTGAGGATGCTTTGCATATTGTAGAAAGCGAAACCGGTCGTCTGATAGTTAAATTAAATTGATTGTGAGTAAGTCTTACTTATTATTTCTTTACCTATTTGAAATGGACTCACACAAGCAACACATTCATGATATAAATAAAGCCAGTTTCATTGTATTTGCGAATAAAGTGATATAACAGATATTTATTATACAACTACTGGTAAATTTAAATGTACCAAAAATATTAAAATAAACTTTAACAACAGTATTTTCCTTATCTTAAAATAAAAATAACTAGCATCTTATAATATTTTAGTTCACACCTTAATTATTAACACATAATTTTTACTATTTACTGTGAAATGAAATATGGATATCAATATTTTTAGATATGATTTCTAAACAATTATACTGCAACTAGTTCAAATTAAGATTCTAACGGTAAGGTCGTTAATATTTTTGTTGGGAATTAACTACAATTTCAGTTTAAAATACATTAATATTAATACTGTCAAAATTTCTTGAAGAAAAAGTCAGGACTTCCTTACTGCAAGGAAATGATATTTCCGTACAGTTGTTAGTGTTGTACATGTACATAAATGATAGAAAAAACTTGTCAAGTTTGACAATTCAACCTCAATACGTTTCCATAGTAACCCAAGTAATTTTATTAGGAATTTTAAAGCACCATTTATTTGGGAATAAAATTATCGCGTTTTTTTTTTAATCAATCAATATCTGTCGAATTTTAAACGATTTGCGGAAAAATAGTATGTTTACCTCGTAGGAAAAGCCACATTCCTGGACTCTGTGTTGCTAAGTCTCGGCTTGCGCCTCGACTTAGCAATCTTCACAGTCGTCCAGGAATGTTAAGCTTTTCCTACCCGGTAAACAATGTACTATTATTTGAACGTTTCATTTTTTCTTCGAAAATCTTTCTCAAAATACAAATTAAATAAATGATTTTTTGTTACTTGGTAATACAAAGATTGATATTGACAATTTTGTGTTTTGAGAACAATGTACGCAGTGCAAATATTTTTCTTCTTCTTCGTCTTTTTATGTAGACGTAATTCTGTGTTTTTTTTTTAATGTGCCTTGAGTAAATCTTTCTCTAAAGGCAAGAACTCGATATGTTCCAGAGGAAGGTAACAGTGATTCCTAAAAAGAAGAGATCTGATTTCAATATATATATTTTTTTATTATAATCCAGCCAATTTTTCTATTATAACAAATATGTGGTAAATAATTGCCTTGTAACTAAATAAAGTTATTGTTTTCGTGGTCTTCCTACTCATAATCTTCCTTTCCAAAGTAGTCTTTACTACTTTGTTTGTAGTGATTCGGCTTATACGATAGTTCCACTCTACTCTTTTTCTACTTCGTTCACACTTTCTTCGTTCCATAGTGTTTTATTATCATCTTTTCTAAATGTTTTTATCTCTGCTGTTTATAACATCCTTTTTGCCTTCTCTGTGTCTGGTCGTACTTCTGCAGCGTATGTCATTATTGGCCTGATGACTGTGTGGTAAATTCTGCCTTTTATTGCCTTATTGATATTTTTATTTCTTCATATTGTTCCATTCACGTAACCTGTGGTTTTGTTTGCTCTATTCACTTGATATTTCACTTCTGTTACGAGCTTTCCGTAGCTAGATATTGTAATGCCTAGATATTTGAAATCCATCGCTTACTTAATTTTCTAAATTTAACCTTTCACTTATATCTTAGTAAATTTGCTGTTATAACCATGCATTTTTTCTTTTTTGCGTAAATTAACATATAAAATTTTCTGGCAGTTATATTAAATTGGTGTAGCGTACGTTATAGGGAGTATTATTGCGTCGTCTGCATAGCAGATTATTTTAAGTTGTTCTTCTCAGATTTGGTATCCTTTTTAAGTTATTGTTTTATTATTTTATCCATAAGGTTAGACAATAGAGTGCTCAGGGAATCTCTCTGTCTTATCCCATTGCCAGCTTCAATAGAGTTAGATACCTTTTCTCGTACTTTTACTTTTATTGTGTTGTTTTGGTAGATATTTTCGATCGGTTTGTTTATTCCGAGAGGTATATCGTCCTTTAATTTTACCCCATCAAATACCTTCTTAAGTTGCGCGAAACATAGATATTTCGGTTTGTATTCTAATGATTTCTCTCGCACTTACCTCAATATAAATGTAGCGTCGGTGCATGATCTTGCTGACTTAAAACCTTGTTTTAAGCCAGCAAGATCAATACACAGTACAGTGTTAATACACAGTATAGTGTTAATACACAGTACAGAAGATTAATTCCTCTGTAATTCTTGGGGTCCGATTTGTCTCCCTTTTTAAAATGAATAACTCTCTAGAACAAAATTCCTCAAGAATGGAGATAAATCATCTCTTAAGGAATTTTGTTTTGTTCTATTATTTTTTCGAATTAGTTTTAATAGTTGTTTGATCAGATTTGGTCCTCTGTATTTTAGGAATTTATTGGCAATTATGTCCTCTCCTAGTGATTTTTTATTTTTTAATTTCCTTAATTCTTACTCATCTCTTTCTCCTCAATATTTATTTCCTCGGTACTAAAAATCGACACGTCAAAATAAACGTTTAAACTGATATTGTGGTTAACTACCCATAAAAAAAAATAAAAATTTTTAAAAGTTTAGAAAAAAATTACTTCAGTACCTACAATGCGTAAAAGTGTGGATCAATATTAAGAATTCGGTATGAGAAGTCGGACAAGATACTTAGTAAAATACCAAAACTTGATATCGAAATAGTAATAGAAAGCACTCAAGTTAAAATAAGTTAAAGGAGAAAGCGTGCACTAAGAAACCAATGAGAACTCATGTACCGGGTGGTCCAATAAGCCGATTGCTCGGCTATATATCAGAAACTATTCATGTTAAAACTTGGGGAGAAAAAATTCCTTAGTAAAAGTGACCAAAAGAAATCGCTGGAAATAACTTTCAAGTTTCTGGGTTAACCGCTAGGGGGCGTAATCTGTGAAGAAAATTTTGAAAAAGAGTTTTTTGTAAAATATGCCCAATTATACCAAGTGTTAAATAAGTGAACTAGAAAGAGTGCTAAATTCCGCACAGAGTTGTTCAAGTACTTTTTTTTTAATTTTTTCAAATAAAGGGTGGGGGAGGGTGGCAAAATATTTGTGGATAAATACGTATAACTTTGGTTTGGATTAACCGATTTTAACGAAATTGGTGTCATTAGAAAGAGTGTGGATAATTTAATCTACATCTACTATAAAACAATTGCATTTAATCGTAATTGTCATGGGTAGAGGGTACTTTCAAATAGAAAAAATTAAAATTTGTTTTTCTTTAAAATGTTTATTGGAAACACCTATTTATTGTTAATTATAACTGAACTGGATTAAATTCGTAACAAAATGGCACAAACCGCATGTTGATAGCTTTTGTCAAACTCGAGATATGAATAAAAACGCATAAACATAAATATAGTATTGACTCACCCTGTATTATAAATTAAAATTAAATATGTGAAAGAATATACAAATATCTCGAGCATTAAAATTTAATGTCCAATTAAATGTTCAAATTGTTTTCCATCGTTAAACACACAAAGATGTAATCTTTCGCGCGTAGACATAACAGCTGCTTCAATCTCAGCTGTTGATATATTATTTATTGCGTTTATAATGCGCTGTTTCATGTCATCTCGTGTAGTTGGTCGAGTTTGGTACACTAAGTCCTTCAATCTTTCCCACAGATAAAAGTCCAGACATGTTAAGTCTGGAGATCTAGCTGGTCATGAAAATATACTTCCTCTTCCAATCCATTTATTTGGATAACTTGCATACAAATAATCTCGAACTCGTCTGGAAAAGTGCGCAGGACACCCGTCATGTTGTAGTATCATATCTCTTCTTGTTTGTAAGGAAATATCTTCCAATAAAACAGGCAACTGATTTTCCAGAAAATTCAAATATGTTTCGCCATTTAAAGTTCTATCAAAGAAATATGGACCTACGATCTTTCCATCAACTATACCACACCAAACATTAAGACTCCATCTACTTTGAACCTGCATGTCATGTATCCAGTGCGGATTTTATTCAGCCCAATAATGCATATTATGCAGATTAACACCACCCGCACTATTAAACGTAGCCTCGTCTGTCCACAAAATCTTTGACAGGATATCCGGTTGTTCTTCTAGCAGACCTAACATCCAATTGCAGTAATCCAGCCTTGCA